AATTTTCCATAAACAACTTCTCGTCTGTAGGTGTTGGAGTATATGATGAAAAGAATTCTTTGTTGGCACAATTATGGCATGAGGCACCAGAATATATCCACCACTCTCTTGGATTTCTAACCAAGTTGCATTCTGAAAGCATTGCACAAAGATCGTCCATCTATTCTTTGGATTCAGCCAAATTTGCTTGATCCTTCTTCTTGTCCTTCTTGGGACCCTTGCATTCAGTAGCCTTATGACCACGTTTGCCACAGTTGAAGCAGCTTCTATTGAATTTCTTCTTAGGAGGATTGCTCTTTGGACCAGATGCTTTCTTTCTTTTCTTTGATTTTGTGGGATCTTCTTCAACAATATTTACTCCTGATATTGCTGAATTACCACGCGACCTCTTTTCTGCGGCCTTGTTATCCTCTTCGATTCTCAGCCTTACCATGAGATCTTCAACAGTCATCTCCTTGCGTTTATGTTTCAAGTAGTTTTTGAAGTCCTTCCACGATGAAGGTAACTTCTCAATAATGGTAGCCACTTGAAAATCATCATTCACAACCAATCATATATTAAAGATTATGTGAGTATTAAGAATAAACTTAATATTTCCAACATAGGTATTAAATAAATTTATACCTTCAGTAAGGAGATCATGGATTATGACCTGCAATTCTTGAACTTGGGTGACGACGGTCTTACTGTCTATCATCTTATAGTCCAGAAACTTTGCCACAATAAACTTCTTCATTCCGGCATCCTCTGTTTTGAACTTTTTTTCTAAAGCATCCCAGAGTTCTTTTGAGGTTTTCACATTACTGTACACATTGTACAGATCATCCTGCAGGCCACTCAGAATATAATTTTTACACAAAAAATCAGAATGTGTCCATACTTCTGTTACCAAGATTCGTCGTTCAGGTCGGAGTTTCATCTGACATAACATGAACGTTCTCATTAATGAACCTCTGCAGACTCAACGTAGTCAGATAAAAGAACATTTTTTGCTGCCATCTCTTGAAGTCGACTCCCGAAAACTTTGCAGGTTTCTCAGCCGGTGCTAGGACAGCATTTGAACGATTGTGTGCAACTGATGTTGTTGCAGCACTTACTGTTCCAGCATTACTGTTTCAGCATTTACTCGACTTGAATTAGTCATTTTTCTGTCACAAATGGCAGACAATTTAGTATGTGAAATACTACCAGTAAAGAGTAAATCCTTACACAGACTGTTTCTGATTTAACGATAAAGTTTTTATGTTCTTTTAATCGTTAACCGAATGAATTTTAAAAATTCAAACAGAGTAGAAAACCATAAAGGTTTTAATCTCCAGAAACCTCAAATACAGAAACCATTTAAATTTCTTAAGATTGTTATCTCCTGTATTCAAGTTAGTCAATAATACAGAAACAGAAAAAAGATGGAATAGACAAAATGATTTTTTAATCCGAGTCCACAGAAATCACTGTGTTTCCTTAAGAAATTTAATCCATCACTGTACCCGAGGTTGCAGATTAATTCCTTCCAAGATAAAACGGATTAACCTGTTAAAGAAGTAGCGGTACCTCAAACTTCAATAACTTCAGCGAACGCAAGAACAGCAACAAGAGCACACACAGACTCAGTCGATCGACAATTTTATTTATGCAAGAAAATGTATGCAGAGAGGAAAAAATTTCAGTGTTTGAAAAAATGAAAAAGACCTCTTATTTATAGCCATTTGCAGCAAGGAACGCGTCTGTTCAGAAAAATCTGTTCAGACCCATTTTTTCCAGAACATTGTGTCCTTTGAGAAAAGTAATGACTTTTCGAAAGGATTACACCAACACCAATCCGAAGCCGAAGCCGAGCGACGATGACGGCGCGAGGGGGCACCTTCTTCTTAACCCTTTAAGAACTAAAGGAAGTGTTTCCTAATATAAGGACAACAATTTCCTTTCTTCTACCAATATGGTAAAAATGACCTTTCATTTGCACTTTTGCAATGATTTTTTATTTTCCCTCCAAAATTGGTTCCCCCACTTTCAGCGGTTATTCCACTTTTCCATTTTCTCTTTTTTATTTCTCATTCACACCTTGCTAAACCCAACAGATCTTGCCATAAAAAGAGATCTAGACCTACGTTGCTTCTTGCTGGGAGTAATCTCGTCAACATCCATTGCTTCATTACTGTTGTCATCTCCACGTTCAACTGATCTCTCTTGCTTACGATCCCATGACTTACTTCGGGCTCGATTGATTGCTAAAATTGGATCCAATCCCAAAGCAGATAACTGTCTTCCCATTCTTTTTGAAGTAAACTCTTTGTCTTGATCAAACTTTCTTGGTACAGTGGGTCGACTCTCTGCGGTGCTCTTCTTCATTCTATGATGTTGAATGAGCAAACTTTTCTTTTTCCGGATTTCAGCTAATGCTGCTTGTTCTTCAGGGGTCAGCTCTGCACCGTCCATCTCATCATCTCCTTCTTCCTCCTGACGAAGACCTTCTTCTCTCTCCAATTCTTCAAGCCTTTGTAAGATATCAGGGTCAACAAAGTCATAGACATTGTGCCCATCTAAAATTTCAGGCATTATATCTTCCTTCCACTCTTCATTTGCTAATAGATAGTGCTTCCTCAAGCTTGCAGAATAAACACCAGCACCTCCATTCTCATTCTCCAAATCTCTCTCGAGCTTCCTTTTCTGTTTCTCAGCTTGCTTTGCTCTGGCTTCCAACACTGCCTCAGGTATGCATGCCGGCCTCTCTTTCTGGTCACGTTTTTTTGGCATATATAGCAACATGGAAGCGGTTCAAGCAGTCATTTAACTTTTCGATTCATTTCAATTCCACCCTTTGATTCAGTAACCTCTCACAAGCTGCATTCTTCACTAAAATTACGCCATCTTCAGTCAAAGTGCTCATAGTTAACAGCACATGACCTGCTTCATCTGTTGCCTCGCCACCTTGACCAATCACTGTCTTCATAGCTTCATCTTTCATCTCCGCGACTAACTTCTTATCTTCCTCAGAAATCCCTTCTAATGGCTGCAAGTCTGTTTTGTTGCATACAATCATCAACGGCTTGTTCATAAAGAGTGATTTGATGCTGTGAAAAAGAGCGGCCTGTTGCGCAATGCTATAGCCACAAGAACCAGAAATATCAAGGAAAAATAACACAGCAGCCCTCAGATGTGCTAGAGCTGTAATACTGCACATTTCTATGATATTACGATCCTCGAATGGCCTATCCAAGATCCCTGGAGTGTCGATCACTTGATATATACCTCAGATATTTGTAGTTAGTATGACCGACAAACAAGGACTTTGTAGTGAAGGCATACGGTTGAACATCCACATCTGCTCTTGTAATCTTGTTGATGAATGAACTCTTGCCAACATTTGGATACCCACAAATCAAGATGGTTCGAGTATTGGGATCAATTGAGGGAAGTCTTGCCATGTGCTGCCTAATCTGTTCCAAATAAGCTAAACTTGGGCCAATGCGCTTTATAATAGTGCACATACGCCCAAGAGCTGCAACTTTCAGGGACTTGCAGCGATAAAGTGAGTCACCATATTTCAACAATTTCACATAATCCTTTGCTACTTTAGAAATCAAATTTCTAGCAGTATTAATTTGGCCAAGGGCAAGCTTGTAATGGTCTTTGTTGTAGAGCACATGAAGAAGGTTCCCATAGAAATGATGGATGTCATCAAGCCTGGGGAACTCATCAATAATGGTGGAGAGTTTGTCATAGAAATTCTGCTGCGTATATTTCACTTTGCGCATGTAAAATTGACGTATACGAGAGATAGCATATCCTTTGTGCACAACAGTAGGAGTTTGACGCTGGGTGCGAGACAAAATGATATCGACAAAGTCCTTCCCATTGGGAACCACCGTAATCTTCTTAAAATTGTACTGCACCATCTTGACAAAATCAACAGCATAAGCTGGAAAATATTAAGCTTCCTCCATTAATGAAGGTTTAAGCTTCACGAGAGGAGCATTCAGAGAGAGAGAAGTGAAAGCATTTTTATTGAGAATAAACTGAGAGAATATAATCAATACAGTATTGTGTATATATACACTATTTCAGCTAACTAACTTGATCTGACAGAATAACAACTTAACCAACTAACTCTGTTAACTCTAACTAATGCTAACTGTGTGATTAACTAAATTGTAATCTCATCACCCCTCCTCAAGTTGGAGGTGAGCTGAACACAAACAACTTGCCCAAAAGAGTAGCATGCTTGACACCAGTCAAGGCTTTGGTGAAAACATCTGCCAATTGAGAACCTGTGGAAATGTGTTGGAGTGTGATCAGGCCTTGTTGGAGCTTGGTTCGAACGAAGTGACAGTCCACCTCTATGTGCTTAGTTCGCTCATGAAAAACAGGGTTCTTAGCTATGTGAACTGCTGCCTGGCTATCACAGAAAACAGATATAGGCAAGGAGCACTGCACTGTCAGCTCATCAAGTAATCTTTCCAGCCATACCAATTCACCAACTACTTGTCTCACAGCCCTGTACTCAGCTTCTGCAGAAGATAAGGAGACTGTGGCTTGTTTCTTAGACTTCCAACTAATGGGACTATCGCCCATGAGGACTAGGTAACCACTGACTGACTTTCTTGAATCAGGACAAGTAGCCCAGTCTGAATCACAAAAAGCACTGATATTGAGGTCAGGTTTAGTAGAGACAAATATTCCCAATGTAGGGTCTTGTTTGAGGTATCTTAGGACATGATAAGCAGCCTTCAAATGAGGTTCTCTGGGTGATTGCATGAACTGACTGAGGTGCTGGACACTATATGCAATATCCATTCTTGTGTTGGAGAGAAAATTGAGCTTGCCAACCAACTTTCTATAGTGAGTAGGATCTGATAATAACGTGCCCTCTGTGGCCATCAGTTTTTCAACAGGATCAAGTGGTGAAGTAGTGGTCTTGCAGTCAACAAAATCAAACTCCTTCAGGAGGTCAAGAGTGAACTTCCTCTGTGAAATGAGGACACCATCAGGTCTATATAGTATTTCCAACCCCAGAAAATAATGCAGTTTCCCTAGATCATTTATTCTAAACTGATCATGCAAGAAGGGTTTCAAAGAGGCAATTTCCTCCAAATCAGTCCCAGTCAAAATGATATCATCGACATAGACAGCAACAAACACCAACGAGCATCCCTGCTTCTTATAAAACAAGGAATAGTCAATGTTGGAATGAGTGTACCCTTTTGAACATAGGCTGCTAGCTAGCTTATCATACCACTGTCTACTGGTTTGCTTTAAGCCATATAATGACTTTTTCAATCTGCAGACCATGCCCTTACCAACCATTGCAAGTCCTTGTGGTAATGTCATGAAGACCTCCTCATTCAAATCACCATGGAGAAAAGCATTATTAACATCTAGTTGATACAAGTCCCAACCCTTTTTAACTGCCAAAGAAATGAGGGTCCTAACAGTAGTCATCTTTACTACAGGTGAGAAAGTCTCATTGTAGTCTATACCAGCCTATTGTGTATAACCCTTTACTACCAATCTTGCCTTGTACCTCTCTATACTTCCATCTGCTTTGTACTTAATGTTATACACCCATCGGCACCCAATAGTATGCTTGTCTTTAGGTAAAGGAACCAACTCCCAAGTGTCATTTGCATATAACGCCTCAAATTCTTGTGTCATTGCTAGTTGCCAAGCAGGATTTAAAATTGCTTCTTCATAAGATGAAGGCTCACTGTCATGTGGAAAAGTGTGAACTAGCTGCTGACTATTGGGGCATAGGGAGGTGAAACAAACATAGTCATGATTGGATATAAATGAGGTGAGGGAATGTGGAGCAGAGGTATTAGTGTTAGAGGTGGAAGGATGAAGCTTAGGTAAAGTGTAATTGTATTCTTTCAGGTAATTGGGAGTGTGGATGGACCTGGTTGTCCTTCTAGGTTCTGGTGGAGCATCACTAAATGAGAGTGGAGGTGCAGTTACAGGTTGTGTACAGGTATTCAGTGTGGCTTCAGTAGTAGTAATGGGAACATGATCAATGGCAATTTCTGGTGATGCATGAGAGTTCAACAGTTCATCATGAACAAAAATATTATTTGTACCAGGTATGTTAGACAATTTATCAGGATGATTAACAAGCGAATTCATGACAGAATTAAAACTCGAATTAGGAGGAGCAATAACAAAGGGAAAAACAGTTTCATGAAAAAAAACATCCCTGGATACATGAATTCTTTTGGTAGCCAAGTCTAGGACCTTGTAACCTTTTGTATTATAAGGGTATCCAATAAAAATGTGTGGTGTGGCTCTTGGTTCAAATTTATCCTTGTGATTCTTCAAAATGGTTGGAAAACAAAGGCATCCAAAACTTCTAAGGTGGGAATAGGTTGGCCTTTGGTGATACAGTAGTTCATATGGAGATTTGTTTTGCAACAGTTTTGTGGGTAGTCTATTTATGAGATAAGTGGCAGTGAGGACACATTCGCCCCAATATCTGATAGGTAGTTTTGATTGGAACAAGAGTGCCCTTGCTGTTTCAAGGAGGTATTTGTGTTTCCTTTCTACTACACCATTCTGTTGAGGTGTATAAGGACAGGATCTTTGGTGTATGATGCCTTTTTCTTGGAAAAAACAAGTTGCTTCAGCACTTGTGAACTCTAAACCATTATCAGATCTGATAGTCTTAAGTTTAGTTTGGAATTGGGTTTCTATAAGCGTTATGAAGGCCTTTACAGTTTGTAATGCATTACTTTTGCATCGGAGTAATTGAGTCCAAGTGGACCTACTATGATCATCTACCATGGTTAGGAAATAATGATAACCATCATGAGTAGGCACATGATATGGTCCCCATAGGTCAATGTGAAGTAGTTCAAACACATTTGTGGTTGTGGTAAGGCTGTCAGGGAAGGGTATTCTGGTTTGTCTAGCCATGGGACAGATGGTGCAAGTAAAAGGTTGTTTGTTTGAAAAATGTATTGGTATGGTAGAAATACCTCTCATCTTAACAAAAGGTACATGTCCAAGTCTAGTATGCCACAAAAATTCACTATCCTGAGCATTGGTGTGGAAAGAATTTACAGCAAATGAAGGAAAATTATTGACAGAACTTGAAGAAAAATCAACAGTGTAAGCTTCTTTATTAGAAACAGGAGAACCTTTTACAGTAGATGGTGAAGCTTGACACTCAGGCCCAATTAAGACTTGTTTACTTTGAACTAAGGAAGGGACATGTTGGTAATTGAAAAAACTATCAGTAGAACAACAGAGGACAGAAGATAGACCACCAGAAACTGGACCACAGTTGTGGCATTTTGGGCAGAAAAAATACAATCCATTCCTAGCTCTACCAAGTCCCAGAGGGCTCTTCAGAGAAGGGCCCTGCAATAGACAAGAAGAACTGTTAAAACTGACTGTTCCTTTGAGTTGGAGTGCCAAACAATGAACTGAAATCAAATTAAATTTGAAACTAGGTATGAATAAAACTTTGTACAGAGTCAATGTTGAATTCAAACAAACATCACCAATTTCAGTTACCTTGACTTTGTATCCATTTGGTAAGGTGATCAAGGAAGGATAAGGTAGTGTTCTAAGGTTAGTTAAGGCATTTTTGGTGTAAGTCATGTGATGTGATGCTCCTGAGTCTATGATCCAAGAATCAGCAGCTAATCTAGTACATTTACATGATAGATTACCTATCTCAGTAATTGAAGAATAGCAAGCCAAAATACCTGCTAGGTTCACAGCTCCACTAAGCATATTTCCTGAGCCATCAGTCCCATTTCCAGCTTGCAGAGATCCCAAGAGGTTAAGCAATTGCTCATATTGGCCTTTGGACAGATTCAATGACATTTGCCTCTTTGACTCATCAGACTCCTCATTGTGATTCTTGTCATCTTCAGAACTGTATGCATTTGCTGCAGAACCTGAGCTTCTTCCCTTAGGAGGTCTAGAATTGGATGGATAACCATGAAGTTTGTAGCACCTATCCTTGGTATGACCGGTACGTTTGCAGAAGTCACAAAACAGATTTGATCTATTACCAGTGCTAGAATTACCTCTGAAGACAGTGTTGGTGTTGGGATTTGGACTATTAGTACCTCCTCTTGAGGATGCATAGTTGGTCCTAAAAACTCTGGATCCTGTAGCAACATTAGGTGAAACAGAGGCATTTAGTGAAGTGGATTCCAAAGTAGTGTGATTGTGAGGTCTAACTTCCCTTTGTCTTTCCTCCTGTAACAATATAGCAAAAGCTTGTGCCATGCTAGGTAATGCAGGCATCATGAGAATGCTTCCTCTCACAATAGTGTACATCTCATTCAAATCCATCAGAAAATATACAAGTCTCCTATCCTGTTCAGCTTGGTGCATTTTGGCCTTACCACCACAGACACATACACAAGTACAGTGGGAGTGAACGTCAAGAGTGTTCATCTCCTCCCATAGTTTCTTCATCTTCGTGTAATAACCAGTGATATCCAAAGTTCCTTGAACAAAATCATTGATCTCCTTTTGTAACTGATAGAGTTTACAACCATTAGTCTGGTCATATCTTTCTTTTAACTCAGTCCAAAGTTCCATGGCATTGTTAACTTACTGTAAACTGTCGCGCAAATTAGGTGAGAGGGAATTGAGAATCCATGAGGTCACCATATCATCACACCTCTCCCATTGCGAGAAGAAAGGATCTGTAGAAGTTGGCTTAACAACTTTCCCAGTGATGAAACCAGTCTTACTTTTAACAGATAGGGCCCTGAGAACAGCTCGTCTCCATGATCTGTACCCAGTTCCATCAAAAACAACTGGTAATAATGTTGAACCTGCGTTCTCAGAAGGATGCAAATAGAGTGGACTACTGAAATCTATTTGAGGAGCAACAACTGGTGCATCACCCATGGATGAAAATTGAAGATCAATGTTGGGGACAATTTCAGGATTTACAAAGGGAAAAAAAACAGAAGAGAGAAAACGAGATCTAAGGAAGTGAACACAAAGAAACAGGGGAACAAGAAATCACGAAATCCCTAAATCACAGATCGTGAAATCGAATCGAAAGAAGAAGAAAAAAAAGAAACTGGATGTGCAATACTCACGAAGTAATGCAGATGCGGAAAACAGAGAACATCCCTTGCTCTGATACCATGACAAAATCAATAGCATAAGCTGGAAAATATTAAGCTTCCTCCATTAATGGAGGTTTAACCTTCACGAGACGAGCATTCAGAGAGAGAGAAGTGAAAGCATTTTTATTGAGAATAAACTGAGAGAATATAATCAATACAGTATTGTGTATATATACACTATTTCAGCTAACTAACTTGATCTGACAGAATAACAACTTAACCAACTAACTCTGTTAACTCTAACTAATGCTAACTGTGTGATTAACTAAATTGTAATCTCATCTTTATAATCTGGACTTGCAGTATAGAATTGAGAGTGTATCGATGGCTGCAAGAGAAGTCGATGATGCATTTTGTAAAATTCTTGAAGCATCCTATTTTGACGTTGTCATTTAAATGGCTTGGGACGAAGGAAATATTTAATTAGAATCCACTTTCGTATATATATATATATATATATATATAATATTATGCCAAAATATTTGAATTTGGTTTTTTTAAGACCATAACGTCAATTTAAAATATTTGAAGTTAGGTCTTATCAAGGCAATATACTTCATACAAAAATATGTTTGAAGTTGGTTTGGCAAACCATTATATATCCAAATCTCCATGGCTACAATTCCAATGAAAAATAGCTAAAGTTGATATAGCAAACCATACAAATTTTCAAATAAAATTATCTGGCGTTAGTTTTCACAAAGCCACACTTCAAATAAAAATGTTTAAATCAGACATAATTTTTCAAACATCAATCGTGCACATCTGAAATTGAGCTCGAAGCAAATAAACTTGCAAACAAAAAAAATGATCATCAAATTAAAATTAAATAACTATTTCAAAAGCAGAATTTGACTTTGTGTAACTTGACTATCCAAAAAAAGAAAAAGAAAAATAAAGGAAAATCTCGTGTGTTTGGTTGAATATCATCAAAATTCATAACAATTTTTCTTAAAATATGAATTTAATAGAATAAATTTTTTATTTAGCAAACATAAAAATCATATTTGTATGTTATAGCTATAGTTTGTATAATTGCGCTCCATACTAAATTTTATGTTTGCTATGGCTATTAATCTATATATTTTGGTATACATATACATAAAAATTTGTATTTGTATATTTCGGTATACAAACTAAAACATAGTAATTGTATATAAACAAAATTACTACATATGTACAACACATATGTGTACCGAATGGGTCTATTTGTATATTTCGGTATACAAATGGGTCCTGTAATTAATTTTTATCCAACACATATGTATATCAAATGAGTCTATTTGTATATTTCGGTATACAAATTGGCAAAAAACATGAAATGTTTGCTACGAATTACAAATAAAA